TCAGTCTTTTCACATAAGAGGCGTCCCTCTTTGCGATCCGCTTTCCCACGGTGGGAGGGAATTTGCTTTTTATAGTCTCCGCTTAGTTTGAACTCACATTCATTGTCGGACAGTTTCTCTGACCTCGCTTGCTTCAACGCTGTTCCGCTCGATCTCCAGTGCTTGTCCTGGTCAAACCAGCTTGTGCCTGAAGGCCACGCAGCAGCCGGATCGTCAGGGTGGAGGGGAGCCTCAATTCTCCGGCTTTATGCCATCGAAGAGGCTGCCCCTCAAAAGCCCTCAGGCCTGGAGCCTATCCCAAAGGCTCCGTGGGGGCGCTACTTGAGGTAGCGCCCCTCCAGCCCGCTGGTGTGCGGATCATTCCCCCACAGTCCTGGGAGAACGTCCGGCATCACTGCTTCATAAACTGGAAGTTCTTCAGGCCTCCTTTCTCCTTGATTCTTGTTCTCTCTGAAATTAAGAGGTTGCAGGAATTGCAGTAGGAATGGGATAGGAATTTGTCAGGAAGTCCTGCCTCCTCTCGAAAAGGCAAACCCATGGCAGAACGTAAAGGGAGATATCACAACCTTGGAGAAAGGTCGAGCTCGAGCCAACAACAGGAAAACATGGGAAAGACGACAAGGAGAGAACGAGAAGCGAGAAGAGGAAACCGACAGACAGGACCCACCAGAGAAGATGCAAGGAGATGTCAAGGGAAAGCCTTGTGGCTTTAAGTGGGAGGGGTGGAATTTAAAAGGAATAAAGATGTCCTAAACCTCAACCGGTAAGGAAGAGGTTAGCATGAACGCAAAGACCTGATCAGGTGTGCCAAAACACTGATAGGGAGCTTTCATGCTAATAAAAGGGCGTCACTCCCTTGTTAAGGGGGCTCTTCGAGTGACTAACCCAGGTTCTGAGGATTGAGAAACGGACAGCTTGTTCCTGATTCCACGCTTGCACTCTAGTCCATGGCCCCTAGAAGACCCGAACGTGACAGAATTATCATGAGGATTTGTGTACAGAGAGTAGAACTAAGCACCTGCAATTTAGTGTAGTGTAGTGTTAGGTATGAATCTCCTTCAGATTTCCGCCCACAGTTTCTAGTTCTTCAGGGCTCCCTTTCAAACCATTGTCCCTTTTGTCTGCTGTTGACCCCATTTGTGCGCTCATTTACCTTTGACAATCCAAACAGGATACCCACTACATTCTTGTGTTTTCTCTGGAGTCTCATTCCCCCACCCCAAAAAGGTTAATTCTTTCAGCCTTTTAAATTTCCAATGCAACTGCAGGGATGTTCTTTCAGATCATAGGTTTCTTGTCTCACCCAAGGCAGAGAAGTGATTAGTTAGGGTACTGTTGAATGTTGAATTCCCAGTCCTGGTGGGTCTAGCCACCATCAATATCTCTCAAACTGACAAAGCTTTTTCTTCAGACCTCAGCAGTGAGACCAGAGAAACAGAAAGTTTGTCATTTTTTTCTGGGTTTCTCCAAAATCACTTCATTTTTGCAATTTTTTAAAAAACTGACTAAGTGTTACTGGGTACTCCGAAGCTGATGCATGCACACATCCGGTGGAAGAAAACCACCCCCTTCCTTGAAACGGCAAAGCCACTGGCTGGAGATGGGACAGGCACAGGTGATGCTGGAAAGGATGGCCGGCCGGCCCTCTGAACACCTGCCTGTTTCTTTCTTTCGGGACTAAATAATGCCCAGTCACTACTGAAACAGGTTAGCACTACTATAATGTGTGGACCCAAATAAATAATTTTAAAAAAATACTCTAGAAGAAGATAAGATATTGGATTTATACCCCACCCATCACTACTTGAAGGAAGTCTCAGAGTGGGTTACATTCTCCTTTCCCTTCCCCTCCCCACAACAGACACCCTGTGAGGTAGTTGGAGCTGAGAGAGCTATTCTGAGAACTGCCTGTGAGAGAACAGCTCTGAAAAAGCTTATGACTGACCCAAGGTCACACCAGCAGCTGCATATGGAGGACTGGGGAATCAAACCCGGCTTTCCCAGATTAGAGTCCATGCTCCTGACCACCACACCAAACTGGCTCTAGAAGGCTCCTTTGTTTTCTGAACTGTCTACTGTCCAGTTTATTTCACCACCTGACACATGTCGTCATTTATTTACTTCATTTATACCCTGTCTTTCTCCCCAATGGGGACCCAAAGCACCTTACATGGTTCTTTTTCTCTTCCATTTTCTCTTCATAACAACCTGGTGAGGTAGTTTAAGCTGAGAGGGATGTGACTGGCCCAAGGTCACCCAGCAGGTCTCCATGGCAGAGTAGGGATTCCAACCTGGGCCACCCAGATCCCGGTCCAGCCACTCTAACCACTAGGCCACACTGGCTTTCCGTGTATAGAAGCCCAGGCAGCCACAGAGTTTCCTGATCAGCTGGCCCTTGGTCCGCTCCAGGTATCCCCTCTGGGACGCCCAGTGCTGTGTGGAAGAACAGATGCTCCGAAGGCTGACTTAGATTGTTTCTGCTGAGGTATGTGCCTTGCAGCTGCCTCCAGCTGACGGGTCCACTTCGCAGCCCATTCTTGCCAAGAGCTGTCTCAGTCAACTCAGCCACCCACCAGACAGCTGAGGGTCACTGAGCCCCAGCAGGCCAGGCTCTTGGCTCTGCATCATCCACCTACTCAACCTCCTGTGCACAGATCACTTGGTGACTCAGTTCAGCGCACGAACGGCCCCCACTGAAAACCAGCTCAGTCAGCAAGTGTGAGCGAGCCTTTAGTTTCTGTCTCTGTCATTACCCCGCCGAGCATGTGGCCTCTGCTTCTTCTGCCATGACTGCTTCTCCTTTCTCAGTCTTCAGCCTTCCTGCTGAGAGATATACGTGGGTTTAGGTTTTGTAGACTCACAGAATCACGGAGTTGGAAGGGGCCCTACAGGCCATCTGGTCCAACCCCCTGCCAAATGCAGGATCAGCCTAGAGCATCCCTGACCAAGTGCTTGTCCAGCCTCTTTACCTCATTTCTATAAACCCCTTCTTCCAAGTAGCTTAAAGTGGCATGCAAGGTACTCTACTCCTCCATTTTGTCCCACAACAATTTTTTTTTTGAGGCAGGCTAGATTATTGAGCATAAGCGACTACTGGCCCAAGACCACTTATGGCTGAAGACCTATGGCTGAAGACCTAACCATGCAGAGGTACTAATAGTTCTCAGGCCCAAGACCACTTATGGCTGAAGACTCATGGCTGAAGACCTAACCATACAGAGGTACTAATAGTTCTCAGGCATGTGGGAACCTAATTCAGACTGGGTCCACAATGTGTTACGGGGTGAGGGTGTTTAAGCTTCTCCCTCAGGCAGTTTTGCTGACCTGAAATTGGCTCCCCGGGAATGTTTCTGGCTAGGAAAGCAGGATGGGAGAGCTAAAGCCTTTGTGTGCCAAAAACATAGTCTGAATTAGACCCTCAAGTACCTGAGAATTAGGGCTTCTATCTCTCTGTTAGCCAATTCCAGGAGCTTTTGGGGGACAGGGCGAGAGAAGAAGAAGAGAGAAGAGATTGGATTTATACCCCGCCCTTCACTTGGAGTCTCAAAGCGACTTACAAACTCCTTTCCCTCCCCCTCCCCACAACAGACACCCTGTGAGGTGGGTGGGGCTGAGAGAACTCTGACACAAACTGCTCTTTTTCAAGGACAGCTGTGCCAGACCTTGTGACTGACCCAAGGTCACATCAGCAGGTGCAAGTGGAGGAGTGGGGAATCAAACCCGGTTCTCCCAGATTAGAGTCCGCACACTTAACCACTACACCAAACTGGAGAGGGGAAAGTGTCATACATGCTGTGATGTCACAGTGTCTATAATGTGATTCCCCTGCCTTCATTTTTCTCCCTCTGCTTAATTGACCAATTAGGCGATTGAGGACAGGGGCAACAGTTTGCCTGTCATGGGAGGCAAATGGTAAGCCTACTGAGAATTGAGTTTGAAAAATTGATAGGAGCTCTGAATACAGAACTCTCAGAATGCATCTGTTCTGACAGAACCCACTGCTGTCTTGGAAACTGTGTAACCTGTGTAACCAAATCTGTCTCTACCAGGTTCTAGTCTGACCATTAATTTATTATACCTTACTGGCCCTCGTATGCCAACCTAGCAGTTCGAAAGCAAGAAATTGCAAGTAGATAAATAGGTACCACTTCAGTGGGAAGGTAACAGCGTTCCGTGCGCCTTGGTGTTTAGTCATGCCGGCCACATGACCACGGAAACGTCTTCGGACTGTGCTGGCTCTTCGGCTTTGAAACGGAGATGAGCACTGCAACCCTAGAGTTGGATTCGACTGGCTTTCGAGCAAGGAAACCTTTACCTTTTTTACTGACCCTCGTGCTCCAAAATGTTCAGGACAGGTCTAGCCATAGAGAGTGTGTCTGTTTACCCTATTAGTCATGACTTAGCCCACAAATACTTGTGCTGTTGTATCGAAACTGGCTCCCTAATGCTATCAGGTCAACTCAAACTCCAGATAATCCATGGATTACCGTGGCAAGGTCAGAGAGAGACAGGAAGGGGGCCAGGTGCCTGACCTGGCACAACTGTAAAAATGCTAGTCTGCCAGCAATTGTGACTTGGGCTTCCATTGGTAAGGAGGTATCCAAGATCATACCCAGGCTCTTGGCAGTTGGCACAGGTATTAAAGGTGCCTCATCAAGAGCTGGGAGATGGCACCCAATCCTGAATTGCCCCTACCCAGCCAGAGAACCTCTGTCTTTTGTGGATTCAGTTTCAGTTGGCTCTGTTTTAGCCATCCAACCACGGCCTCCAAGCCCTCGGCACTGTCCATTCACAGATATAGGTGGGTATCATCAGCGTACTGATGGCAACCCAGCCCAAACCTCCATGCCAACAGAACCACTGGGTACCTCTTGGTGCTGGGCTAAGGGGCACTGTGCTATGGTGGTCTGAGTCCTATCTGGGAGGGTGGCCCAGAAAATGGTGCTGGGGATGTTGGCCTGTGGGCTTCCACAGCCTTTGATCTAGGGTTGCCAGCCCCCATGGTGGAAGTGGGGTTCTGCTGCCACCGGGTCTCAACCCTTATCACCGATCAGCTGGCTAACGGGGGGACTTACCAGAAGAAAGAGGAAGGTCCACGCAACATTGCTGGCAATGTGGTAATGTCACTGCCAGTGTGCACAGGAAGTGATGTCATCACGATGGTGATACCTGGACAGTGCCCAATTCAAGGAGCTGGTTTGGGACCAGGGTATCTGAAGAACCATTATGACACAACCATCCACTTCCCTCCCTCAGGGGCACGATTTTCACTCAATTTTTCTTTCCCTTTGTGACTGAGCTGCCCTAGTTATCTGTTTTCTTCTGTCCTCAAGAACTCTGGCTGTTCCACCCTGTCACAGTGTGATATTTTACTCCTGGTTCAGCTGAGAAACCTAAGGGAAGGGTCAAGAGCCCCATTTAACTCAAATAACTGAAATGGCGCTTGAGGCATTTGGAAATTCAAAAATAACAAAATATTTTATTCCACATAGAGGGGGAAAGATCAGAGGAAATCAGGGGTAAAATTTCTGAGGTAACTCAAATAACTCTGAGGTAAATCAGTAGATGCACAGACTGCAGTTCATATGTTTCAGGCTAATGAGAGTTTCTTAAAATCTTTATTTATTTATTTGATGAGAGGCTTTTGTTCCAGTGTTTCCCAAACACTGCAGTACACTTTCTTTGAGTATTCACTGACTCTTTTGGTTTACAGAAGGCTGGGACACTCTATTCAGTACCCAAAACCCTTCTCTAAACAGACTAGTACACTTCTTGAATTTTAACTGACTGTTAAGATTTCACAAGGCAGTCTCTAACCACACCAGACCAAGAATCTCTCCACTCTTCAGAGCTATCTCCCTGTTTTGACTGGGTAGAGAAATTCTTCTCTCACTAGAAGTTCTATCCCCTTCCCTTGGCCCGAATGGGAGTCTTCGCTTAACTACCCACTCTTCCTTGCCAACCTCCCTAGTGCTCCATTTGTGTTAAAATGCTCTCAGTTCCGGCTGAATTCAGACTGAATTTCTCCTCAGCATTCAGTTCTCAAGTCTTTCTCTGCTCAGATGATGCTAACCGATCAGATTCCTTGAAGCAGACTTTCACTCAAGGTTCTCTGGTTCTGTGAAGAATTAACCCTTCACAGTTCTACATCCGTTTATATAACACTCCTAAGCTTTTAAAAGTTCACTCCGTCACAAATCTTCTCCCATATGTTCCTGCCCAGGAACTAAGATCACAGGGAGAGATCCTCTTGACTGTCCCATTGACCAAAGACTTTCATCTTGTGGGCACATGAGAGAGGGCCTTTTCAGTGGCAGCCCTACGATTAGGGAACAACCTCCCCTGAGAAGTGCACCTGCCCCCCCTCACTCTCCTAAAGATCGAGAGTGAGGCAACTGAAGACAACTTTACTCATGACAGAATCTGATTAGTTAAATAGTTCTTCTGTCTACCGGCAGTTTTAAATTATTGATTTTTACTAGCAGTTTTTATGTATTTTATGGATTTTATTGTGCTTTGTTATTATTTACATTGTAAGCCACTTTGTGTTTCTATAAGGAAGAAAGGTGGCTAACGAATATTTTAAATTTTAAAAATCTGCTTTGCATGCTGAAGTTCCCAGGCTCAATACCTGGCGGCTCCAATTATGAGAGTTAAATAGCAGGTGACACCAAAGACTTCTGTCTGAGATCCTTGAAAGCTGCTGCCAGTCAGAGCAGACAATTCTGACCTTGATAACCCAATGGTCTGACTTCATGTGTCCTATAGTGTACAGTAGACCAGAAGGAAAACCATCCTAAGGCATTGTGGGATAGGGTGGTGTGGTTACTTACAGCAGCACTGCCTCATATGTTGGACTCCCCAGTGACACACTTTACTGACACCCTTTTTTCTCATTTGCAGGTTGCAGTGGGCCATCCCTCAACTCTCTCTTTCCTGTTTGCTACGGAATGTGCCCCTAGTCCTGTATATTTCCAGTGCTCATCCAATGGGTGCTTCGGCCTTCCGAATCCAGCGTGTACAAAGTGCAGGTGAAAGCAGACATCAGTGTAGCCCAACCCTGTGTCAAAATGTTCCTGGTTCTTTTCTTTCTAACCCAAAATAATTTTGTCGTATACAGATGACTGTCAAGATCACACTACGCATTTCAGACCTACCTTTGCTCTGGCAGGAGAGCCCCTGGTCCTACAATGCCCTCCTTTCCAATACAAAAATATGGACTCTTCCGACCTGGCCCTTAATCTCACTTGGTATAAAAATGGTTCAACGACACTTATCCCAGCAGGAAGTGGAGAAAACAGAATTCTGTCACAAGATGACATGCTCTGGTTTTTACCAGCCTCTCTGCAGGACTCTGGGGAATATATTTGTACTCGCAGGTAAGGCATTTAAGGTGTGAGAAGGTTAGGCTACGTAACTGCAGTATGCAGTTGGGTATGCATGGAACTCTGCGTAGCCACTGCTGAAGGAAACGATAATCAGGACCCAGCAATTTAGATAGCAACCAAAAACAACATATTGCTGTACAAGTGCATAAACTCTCAAACTAACAATGATGATATTTTTAATATTTCAATAGGTTAATAACATCAAGAGACCGGAGTCTTCATCAAACAAGAAGCAAAGACGAACTTTCCCGAGCTTGACAGTCCGTTTCGACCTGCATCTTTATCAAACATCAGTTTGTGGTGTTCCTTTCCTCAGATCATAAGTTTTTCAACAATACGTGTACAATTTCACTAGTGGCTAATCATAGCTCTAATAATAAAGCAACTCCTTCCGGATAATACAACGGACTGTCAAGCTCGGGAAAGTTCATCCTTGCTTCTTGTTTGATGAAGACTCCGGTCTCTTGATGTTATTAACCTATTGAAATATTAAAAATATCATCATTGTTAGTTTGAGAGTTTATGCACTTGTACAGCAATATGTTGTTTTTGGTTGCCACTGCTGAAGGGCCATGCAGACAGCTGATGAAACCCATCTTTGGTATAACTTACTAAGAGTTTACCAAGGGTTGACAGAGAAGGATGACTTTGGGAAGCAGGTATTCTACAGAGTGGAGACCAGATATGCTGCTGCCATGTCCATAAAGTTTACCAATGCACTGCCAGACCATAATACTCCACTTCTCAGTGTTTTATGCCTTGGGTCCCGTTCTAACCTTCCAGCACGATGTTGTTGTGTCTCTGTCTAGCCTAAAGCATGTTCCATCAGTAAGTATTGCTGGTGGAGGAGGGGAAAGTAGTAATGCATTTTGAACTATGATCTGGGAGACCCTAGTTCAAATTCCAACTTTGCCATGGAAGCTTGCTGGGTGGCCTTGCGGGGAGTCACATCCCTCTCAGCCTAGCTTACCTCACAAGACTGTTGGGAAGATAAAATGGGAGAAGGGAGAACCAAGGACCCTCCTTTGGAAGAAAGGCAGTTTAAAAAAAAGTGCTAGGTAGATGGGACTCTCACTGTTTCCCCTAAACTGAGTTAGTGTGAGCTAGCTCACAGTTTCTTAGCCTATGGCTCACCCATTTTTGTCTTAGCTCAGGAAGGGTGGCTCCAGAGAAAACTAATTTATGCAGGAGCCAAATCGCCCGCTCCCAAAGCAGAATTTTTGCTCACAAGACTCCACAGCTTAAAAGGAGCATTGGATGGGATATGTGAAAACTCCCTGTCCCTCCCCCTCGCAGAATATTTCACAAGCTGTACTAAGCAAAAGTATATGATGTAAAATCTTTCACAAAGTTGTATGAAACAAAAGTACATCCTGTTGTTTGTTATTATTGGTTATTGTAAGAAATAGACTATGTTGTAATTTGTTGCATTGATACAAACAAGGATCATATAAATTACATTGAGCACCAGTGTAGTATTCATTAGTAACTTTAAAGAAGAGTCTGCTTATATTGGTTGCCATCTCATGGTATATATTGTGTTTGTATTGGGTTAACTGCCCATGAGCCTGGAATTTGAAGTGGGCAAAGGTACTGCACAATGGCAGCTCCAAAGCAAGGATTTCAGCTGCTGTACTTTCCCTGCTGCCAGAAATGGAATGGGATGCCCGCCCTGGCTAGTTATAACCCTGGTTATAGCTAGTTGCAGCACATGTTCTGTAAGGTTCAGAAAGTGCCCAAGATTTTAAGTCACTCAGAGACTAAATGTGACTTTCTTACGGAAGGTTCAACATTTGGTTAAAACAAAGAAGGATGATTTTGGTAGTCCATAGAATAAAGTTTGAGTCCAGTGGCACCTTTAAGACCAACAAACTTTAATTCTGGGTGTAAGCTTTAGAGAGACAACAAGCACTAGAAAAAGAGGAGAGAGAGAGAGAGAGAGAGAGAGAGAGAGAGAGAGAGAGAGAGAGAGAGAGAGAGAGCGCTTTAATGGCATATTAGTACAGCAAATCAGAAATTCAAAAAACCAGACACCAATACCCAGAATTAAACTCTTAAAGGTGCCACTGGACTCAAACAGTGGTATTCTATATATGGGGTTTTTATGAGATCAAATATTTCAAAGTCATCCCTAATACAGCAGCATTAGAGCATGGGAAACTGAGAACTGTGTTCCCCTGTAAATAATCTCTCATACCTATACTGGCTGTGACGAAATGCCTGTTCTGTGCCTTCTAAGCAATACTCCAGTGGTGTTGCATGCCCAGGGAACAGTCGCTTCTCTGAAGACTGCAGCGCAGGGAAGTACAGACATCCTCAGGCTTCTGCGGCCGTGTAATGTCCTTAAAAACTTACACCACTGAGCACACACTTAACATCTGCAATAGGGAAGACGAATGTTTCGCTCTCGGGGGAAACTGTGGGTGCCACTTATTGCACAGGATATGTGAATGAACTTTTGAGGTGAAAAAGTCAGCTCTGGGACACGGTTCTGGTGCAATGTTACTTTCGTCAGAGTACTCTGAAATCGATCCCACAGACAGAGACATTTGAAAAAGATCATGCCTTAACTGAAAAGCCCCCTCCCCCCTGTATAATACTCTGGGTTGTACAATAGGCAGAAGTTCTATGAGCTTGTTTGATTCATATTTTGAACTTTATTTCCACAGGGGGAAAAAAATGTTAATAATTGAGCTTTTAATATTTTGACTGTTTTAGCTTGTATAATTGTTCAATACATTTAAGCAATTAAAATTGTTAATATTTTTGGAACACTACTCTGGGAGTGCTGTACTTCATCCAAGTCACACCCAATTTGCAATCTGCTCACAGGAATGCTTCATACTGTGCTGATGTGTCCATTTATCTACAAGTGTTTGACAAGAGTGCTTCTCAAGAGATTAGCTTTCCCCAGAAGGCCTTCACACGCAGCCCTGGGAAGGTGGTTTGTCCTAACCTGAAAGGTTTTGTACAAAAGGATGCCAGCTATGAACTCAAGTGGTACAAGGTATTGTTACTAGTATCATTACAAATATTAATATTAGTGATTTCATGGCAGCATATGGAATCGAACTGGGGACTTTCAAACTGAGTCGCCTGCTCTGGATTTAGAAATTCCTGGAGATTTGGGGGTGGACCCCGAGGAGGGTGGGGTTTGGGAAGGAGAGGCACCTCTGCAGGGTATAATGCCATAGCATCTACCCTAGGGTTGCCAAGTCTATTTACCTTGGCGGCGGGGGAGCCTCGCCGGGCTCCGGGAGCTTTCGTTGGACGTGCGCGCCGCCAGGACGTCACCGGAAGTGACGCGCGACGTCGACACATTGAGGGCATGGCCCCGATCGTCGGAGAGAAAACCATAGAGTTTTCCCTCCGACGATCGG